GAGTCTAAGATTTTCAAATTAACAATGTATCTTCTTTGCTATGGCTAAGAAAAGAATTGAAATTTGGGCCCGAGCTGCATTTATCTCAGGAAACTCTACTGGAGAGGAGGGAATATAGCCTAGCCTAAAACTATTAATAGGACCATAATCATCGTCGTGCCATATGCGGAAGGTGGCCTCAAAAATATTTGTTTGGTCAATCTGTTTATTCCTATCCCGATTATAGGCTATCCGACTCTTCAAAGTTATTATTTGTTCTTTCATTGAATGGATGTAACTAATATATTTTAAATATCTCTTAGAGTATTTTGAATATGCTTAATTCCTTTTCGTTTCTTTTTTATCTTTCAAAGTTATTTTCTCTTCTTCTTCTTTAACCATTATTATATCTAATTTTAGCTTTTTTTCTTTCGAGATGAGATCTTTCAGTTGTTTTTCAAGTTTATTAATTTTTTTTTTCAAAATACTGCGTTTCAATCCATTGGGCGCGAGTCTAAGATTTTCGAATTAACAATGTATCTTCTTTGCTATGGCTAAGAAAAGAAGTGAAATTTGGGCCCGAGCTGCATTTATCTCAGGAAACTCTACTGGAGAGGAGGGAATATAGCCTAGCCTAAAACTATTAATAGGACCATAATCATCGTCGTGCCATATGCGGAAGGTGGCCTCAAAAATATTTGTTTGGTCAATCTGTTTATTCCTATCCCGGTTATAGGCTATCTGACTCTTCAAAGTTATTATTTGTTCTTTCATTGAATGGATGTAACTAATATATTTTAAATATCTCTTAGAGTATTTTGAATATGCTTAATTCCTTTTCATTTCTTTTTTATCTTTCAAAGTTATTTTCTCTTCTTCTTCTTTAACCATTATTATATCTAATTTTAGCTTTTTTTCTTTCGAGATGAGATCTTTCAGTTGTTTTTCAAGTTTATTAATTTTTTTTTTCAAAATACTGCGTTTCAATCCATTGGGCGCGAGTCTAAGATTTTCGAATTAACAATGTATCTTCTTTGCTATGGCTAAGAAAAGAAGTGAAATTTGGGCCCGAGCTGCATTTATCTCAGGAAACTCTACTGGAGAGGAGGGAATATAGCCTAGCCTAAAACTATTAATAGGACCATAATCATCGTCGTGCCATATGCGGAAGGTGGCCTCAAAAATATTTGTTTGGTCAATCTGTTTATTCCTATCCCGGTTATAGGCTATCTGACTCTTCAAAGTTATTATTTGTTCTTTCATTGAATGGATGTAACTAATATATTTTAAATATCTCTTAGAGTATTTTGAATATGCTTAATTCCTTTTCATTTCTTTTTTATCTTTCAAAGTTATTTTCTCTTCTTCTTCTTTAACCATTATTATGTATCTTCTTTGCTATGGCTAAGAAAAGAAGGGAAATTTGGCCCCAAGCTGCACTTATTTCAATTGCAGCACTCCATATATATTAACCATTCTACTAACCACCTACGAAAATGTGTTATTTCTTAATCAATCCCCTTACGTTGCTATACACAGTGATGGAAGACCCTGGGCTGGGATAATTCTAAACACGGCTGGCTCTACTTGAGAACAAACAGGCTAACATTTGATGCAAACATGTACATTAGCTGCTCCAATTCCTCGGCAGACAGCTTTGGTGAGTGATGGCGGTATATTGTCCCTCATGAGGGTCGTAACCCGATTCTGGAGCCACCATGTCTCAAACCGAACTCACTCTTGACAAGGTTTGAGATCATCTTGACGATAAATTTTTCGAAACCTTCCTCGATAAATGCCCTTCGTTTAATATCGCCAGATGTGTGGATGAGTAAAGCTCATTTCTTTTGTTCATCCTTACATTACATCCTTTGGAAGGGTTGGAAGAATCAGAAGAAACCTTACTAAGACGGACAAAGAACGTTAATTGCGTGAAATAATAGAAAGGTCTCAAAGTCTGGCATTGTATTGTTCTTGAGATTAAGGAAGGACTAACTTTCCTTTAGGCCCGGTTTTTCCTATGATCAGTATGGATATACTTAACTATACTTGGCTTTATTTTGTCTGTGGCTTACCTGATTTTTGTTTTATTTATTTGTATTTGTCATTATTTTGTCTTAATCATTAGTAAATTTCTGCTGCCTTTAAATAATTTATTTTATTGTACTAAGACTACAGGCCCATTCAAACACACTTGTTACTAACGTTACATCCTCTTCTATTCCTGACAATTCTCCTCCATCTTCTGAAAAGAAAATGAGAATGATAATGAATGGGTAGTTTCTCTATCGGAAAATTCATTGATTATCCTGAAAACTGTTATTACAATTACATTGAGAAAAAATGATTTCTTAAGTAACAAATAACAATGTTTTTTCTCTTCATACCTTTATCCGCATCGTATCATAAGCTTAAACAGATATGTTGTTATTGTTAAGAAAATTGGCATTCCAGGCATGAGGAAGAATAGTGCCCAATAGCACTTCTTCCTGGTCTTTTTTTACATCCTTCATTCAGGAAAAGAGATCTCTCATGAAGCTACTCTTCAGTCGCCACCTGATGTCCATGAAGTCCGTTGTGATGTCCGCGTAGTTTAAGAAGTAATTGCGAGCAGAACACATATGTGTTGGTCGATAGTTGGTTGTCGTTAGTCGGTATGTAAAGTTTTGTTATTTATGTACTATAGAGCTCCTGGATATTAGCCTTACAATTTTAGATTGAAATGATTGTAGTTTTGTAAGTGTCTCCTTTTTAATTATTGTTAATTAAATTAAATTAACAATGTTAATTTCTTTTTAAATTTAGAAGAAAATCACTGAAGGTTTTAGAAGGTTTTTTATTTTTGTTTGGCACAAATACTCTATGTATGCTAAGAATCATAACCCGAAGAAAACATCAGTAACCTATAGTGTGCTTATTTAATTTAACAGGTCTCTCTTAATATCCCAAATACCATGACAATAATAAGCTGGAATTAGGACACATTATGAGGAAATGAAGATTCTTCTAGAAGATATTAATCCAAACGTGTTATGTCTACAGGAAACTAAATTTTCTTCTAAACAAAAATTAATTATAAAAGATTACACAATATATAGAAAAGATAAAGAAATAGGAGAAGAAGATAGAGCGCACGGAGGATTGGCAAGCCCTTACAAGCCTTAGTCATTAAAGTTAAACTTTGCTTCATAATAACAATATGCAACATATATTTGCCGCCAACGCAAAATAAAAACAAATTAGCTTTAGTGCAACTCATTAGTAGCCTTCCTGCTCCTTATTATATTGTAATTGGAGATATGAGATATTTGAGATCATCTTGACGATAAAGTTTTCGAAACCTTCCTCGATAAAATCGTCTCACCAAACCTTTGCACTCAAGTTACATGGACTGTGGGCAACGTCCAATATAGGAACTGATAATTTTCCAATATTATTGCATTTCAACACGGAAATATCCAAAACCAAAACACATTCAAAGTTGATCTTAGAAAAAGCAAATTGTGAGGTGTTCAGCGAAAAAATAGAAAAAATCACAGCAAGGCCATCAGAAAGTGTAGATGAAACAATCGGAAACTTTACAGCAAAAATAATTCAATCAGCCCTAAAGTCAATCTCCAAAACTAAAAGTAAACCCAAAACAAACCATAGACCTTGGTTCGATGATGAATGTCGGAATCTAATTAAAAAAAAGAATAAAGGGCTTAAAGAGTTCCAACGAAATCCTACTAAAGACAACCTTATAAACAACAAAAAGCTGTTGTTAGAAACCTTATAAAAAACAAAAAAAGGTTATCCTGGATTTCATACATAGACTCAATAAACATAAATACTGCTATAAAAAAAGTTTGGCAAAAAAATCCATGGCATAGCTGGTAATCGCAGAATAGAGACACCGATTCTAAAAATAACAGATAACAATGAAATAATAACAGATCCAAAAATAATTGCGGAAATTCTAGTTCATCATTTCACAGACATTTCAGATTCAAATAGCAGTATAAACCATAAAGAAAATACAAAAAAAATTGAGTTCACTTCACCTACATGGCATGACAACTCAATTCAGGAGAATTACAACCTTCCCTTTACATTCTGGGAGCTACAACTTGCAATAGATGAAGTTAAATTCTCATCTCCCGGGAAAGGTGAAGTCCATAATATAATGATAAAACATTTCCCCGTCGATATTAAATATGAACTTCTTAATATTTTCATTAGAATCTGGGAAAGCTCCGTATACCACAAGAATGGCGTGAATTGATAGTCATCCCTATTCTAAAACCAGGAAAATACAAGCTACAACCCAATAATTATCAACCAATATCACTTACCAGTTGTCTGTCAAAACTCTTAGAGAAAATGGTTAATAGACGTCTTATGTGGGTGTTAGAAAAATATAACCTTCTGTCGCCTATCCAATGTGATTTTAGGAAAAGTAGATCGACTACAGACCGACTGGTGACGATGGAATCCGAAATTCTTAACACTTTTGTAGAACAGAAAGAAGCAGTAGGTATTTTTGTTGACATACAAAAGGCGTATGAAACTATTGACAGGAAAATAATACTAGAGACCTTATATGGATGAGACTTAAGAGGAGCGATGTTTATACAAACAAAGCTTCCTAATGGAAAGATACATTACCGTATTAAATTCAATATTAATATTAAATTCAATTGGAACCAATCTACAAACGAATTGCAATAAATCAGAAAATATATCCAACCATATATAACCTCTTTCAGAAAGAACAGATCAAAGGAAATAATTTTAACTCGGCTTAGAATTTGACATGCAGCCTTTAACACCACGATTACGTAATGAGACGTCTGGAACCACTATTTTGTGAAACATGCAACACATCACTTACACTGAAACAAATTGTAAAAATTTGCAGACTATACTCTGACACTAGAACAAAACATAAAATACCTTCAACCATATCTGACGCACTCGTAGATGACAAAAAGAAGATACAAAAATACTTGAATTCATAAAAAACATTAAATTTGTCCAAAATGTATGAGAGCCATGTCAACTTATACAAGTCGACCATGGCTCCCATAGTATTTGCGGTAGCCACTACAGACAGGCCTGTCCTGTCTGCAACTGCCCGTCCTCGTCGCCGATTCGACCACCAAATGCAGACTTTGGTGACACCTATCGCCACTTCCTCTGGCGTAGCACACTGCCTTTTCCAAGTGGATCTGGCCCAGCGTTCCCCTCCTCAAAGCCGCACACTAGATGCGCCCAGGCTGCGCAGTGCAGCGGAAGGTCTTCGGCAGGTGCTCCGACACACCTACCGGCTACTGGTCCGATTGCGCCACTCTGTGAGACGTTACGACGTTGGCCTTCACCTATGACTTCATTTGCGATTGGTCATTTGGTTGAATTGGGTCCAGTTGGTGCTGGAGCCTTGGATCACCCGGGTAGTTACTCCCCTGAGTATTCCCGGAGGTAATTCGAATGAAACCAGATCACCATAACTCCTCTGGCTCCACACTCCATTCCATGAAACAGTGATTGTCGAAACAGTCACATGTTCCACTGGGATTCCGAGCCTGTTGGCAACACCTATCATCAGGCTCTCGTTGTCAGAGTAGTACCTCTTCTTGGTCTCATGAACTGAGTCCAGCGTCGGTCTACCACCGACGACCTGGGCATCCAATATGAGTCCAGCACCCTCTTTCTTTGCCACTAAATCCGGTTTTCCGCAGCCCCAGCTCAGCTGCGGACTGCACATATGATTCATACTGAACACTCCAGCCCTTCGTAGCCAACGCACCTCCTATTATTCTGTAGACTGCATTATGGCGCAAAATGCGGCCACCATGGGTGCGATGGCATTGCTGTACTACATGCGCAGCGGTCTCTCTCACCTGACAACCGGCCCGGCATAGTGTCGGCATGTCATTTCTCCTCACTCCCCTGTTTGTGCGAACCCGGGTCGGCAGGGATCCGGACTGCACGCGGATATACTGGACGAAGTCTCGGCCA